CAGAAGGAGCATTAGCATGAGCTGCCTCTTTCCCAGATCTCTCTTCCTTGAATTTTCCTCCTGTCTTAGGTCTTTCCCTTCCATGGAGGCTTACCAGGTGTGGCAGAGCATTAAATGAGCCCTGCCAGGGCTCTCACTTGAGCCATCCCAGATGCTGCTTGTCCCAAGGGTGTCTGGGATGCCAGCACTCAGAACCCAGGTGGCCCGATCAGTGGAAGGCTACAGTCACCTGAGCAGGGTCCACAGGTGATCAGCGATGTGACTTTCTGATGGCCATGAGTGTAATCAAGCCGACAGTCCAAGACTCTCCATAAAATTGAATTAGAGAGCTGAGTGAATTAACTGTTTGCTCCTTTTCCTGTGCAATGCATCTTTAATTACATTTCATAAAACCGTCTGCATGGATTGATGGAACTTTATTTAAACTTCAGGTAGGTACAGGGAGTAAACGATAGCACAGTATAACATGTTCTAGGATAAGCTCAGAGCACATTTATTTTATGACAGTTCAACAGCATCTTTGATGTGAGGCTATTTAAAAATATATTACCTTTGCAAAAATTTCCTTTGAAAGATAGAGTGGTACTTGGCAGCTTGTAAACAGATGACCAGTTGATCAATTGACAAACAAGCCAACACATATAATTTATTGAACCCCTCTCCTTTGACACATGCAAAACATTGGTTTATTTTAGCAGTAGAATACCGTTCTCGAAATCCCTTGTATTTCACACTGTAGGATTTATGAAGCAAGCCTTGCCAAATATAAGCTCTTCACAATAAAAGGAAAGTCTCTCTGGTCTGTCTGCTCCTCATTTTCTATCAACACGGATTATTTTAGGTTCAGGTCTTGTGTGGCAAGGAAAACACATGCTGCTTAGAGTAAATAATGGTGCAGATCCAAGCAGAGAGATGTTATATGGCGTCACGAGGATTGTATTTATACTTGCAAAAAGCTGTAACTCATCTGCCAGAATACTATATTTGCTTTTCTGTTTCTCCATGAATCCTTTTGTTGGCATCAGAAAATGGTGTTTTTCCCCTGGGGCAGATCTGTTTGCTGTGTTACTAATGTGTTGGAGAAAGGCTGGAGTAGCACCTCCCTCCCCACAGCTCTCCTGTCCCCTACAGAATGGAGGATGATGCTATGTGCTTCCTGAGAGGAGTTGGCTCAATAAGAATCTGGGTGGTATTCACCCCCTAAATTGATTTGTGGGGAGATCTTCCTTATCTTTATACCCAGCATACCTTTGCTGGTTTCTACTTCTATGAAGAAAAAGCATACTCATGAATCTTAATAGAGTCCATTGGCGCCACACACACACACACACACACACACACACCTACTTCATTCTTTTGTTCAAAGGAAGTGGTTTTAACTCAGCAAGGGTAGGTTTCTTTGGAGGAGGGGGAAGGGAGAGCAAGAAAGATCCTGGATGGATGTCATGGTTCATGCGTATCATCCCAGCTACTGGGAAGGTGGAGCTTGGGCGAATCACTGTTCAAGGCTAGCCTGGGCAAGAAGTTCCTGAGGCCCCCTTCTCAATCAATAAGCTGGCATGAGCCTGCGATCTTAGCTAGATTAGATGCTGCAGGTAGAAGAATCTTGGTCTCAGGTCAGCTCCAGGCAAAAACGCAAGATTCTATCCGAAAAATAACTAAAGCCAAAAAGGGCTGGTGGTAGAGTTCCTACCTTGAACTCAAGGCCTTGAGTTCAAACTCTAGTGACTTCCCTTCCCTTCAAAATACAGTGGCCCATTTGAGAAGCTGTGAAGTTGAACTTGCCCCCTGTGGCCATCATTTCTGCCCTCTGAGGTAGAACCATAGACTTGGTCCATAGGAGTGACCCAATTGGGTGGACACCACAATACTACCTGTAGCTTAAGTTAGGTGAAGTTTGGTGGCTAATAGAGCTGCAGCATGGACTCGTTTGCTCCTGTGTCACCTTAACACTGCTTCACTTTGGACTTTTATTATTCCCCAGCTCTTTGGGCTTAGCAACCCTTCCCTATCTGCTCCGGGAAAAGCTGACTTGGAATTCCCACTGCCTATGGGCCACTGGGCAGCTCATTGTTTCCCTGGTCCTGCCAGCAGCTGGGGCCTGTCATTACATCATAAGGAGAGATGTATGGCAGGAACTCAGAACTGTCTTGGCACGGGAAGGTGTTTAGTTAGTGGAAAAGTCCTCCAGAAGGAGTAGGAGGAGTCCCAGATGCTCACTGGCTCATGGCAGGAACTGGAAGCGGCTGTCCGCCTTCTGTGTGCCCACAGGCTGGCAGGTTGAGCGGTTGCTTGCTTACCAGCCTGGCTTGCGGGGAGGGGCTGCTCTAGTCACAGAGGGCTTCTTGCCATGCACATTCACGGAGAGTGGTAGAAGTAATTCATTCTAGACTCTTCCTAGGGAGTTCTGTATAATGCTGATCCACCTATGGTGTAGCAGGATACCAGTTGCTCGCTTTTAGCTCTTACCACAAATGAACTCAACCCAGCCTGAACTTCTGCCTGGACTCCTCCCCCCTCCCCCCACTCGCCCTCAGGCTGATCCGGCTAACCTTCAGGTTCTGGGACCAGAAACAGACTTTTTTTGGGGGGGGGGGGTCTGGTCATGGGGCCTGAACTTGGCCTGGGCACTGTCCCTCAGCTCTTCAGCTCAAGGCTAGCACTCTACCATTTGAGCCACAGCACAACTTCTGGCTTTTTTCTTTTTGCTTATGTGGTGCTGAGGAATTGAACCCAAGGCCTCAGGCATGCAAGGCAAGCGCTCTACCACTGAGCCACCTTCCCAGCCCCAGAAACAGACTTTTAATATTGCCCCTGATTATACCCTATTTGCACCCAGTCTCTCATTCACTGTGTAACGAGCTGTGCAGTCCTTGCAGGGGGGAGGGGTTCCTGCCTCACAGCGCCAGACCTCCACATGGAGGGCCCTAGCATGGGGCAAGGGCCATGTTCTGACCAATGCTGTCCGAACCGGTTCTCACAAACCACTCATGTTTGCCTGCACGAACTCAGCTGGGCCCAGCTCACCCAGGCCGGCTGGCTTGCTTCCATGCTGCCCGCCCAACTGTTTAGGAACAGTGCCCAGCTCTACAGCAGCAAGTTTCGGGCATCATGTCACTTGCCTCAGCCCAGATAGTTCTCAGCGTCTACCCAGCTAAGTAAGGTACTGCTCATACCAGAATCACAGTCTGTTGGCCGGAGCACTATTCTAAGATTAATGTAGTGACACTCGCAAACAGGAGCCAGTGGCTGAGTGTGTAGACATTTCCCAATGGCGGGGTGAATGTGTCCTCTGGGTCATGTAGTCATCTGTTCTTCGGGTGTCCTATCTCATTTTAACAAGTAGACCAACTCAGATGAGATTCATTTACTCAGAGTCAACAGCTGTGCCCTGGGGAAGCCTGCTGGAGGCCTTAGGACCCAGTGTGATCTGTTCTTGAGCACTTGCTCTCTTTCACCAAGAAAGGATTAGAAGTCTATAATTTTCTCAAACTTAAAAAAACACACACACACAAAACCAGCCTTGCCACCGATCTGGAAGATTGCCTCTCAGCTGTACCCGTGGGCGAGAATTCTTGTCTTTTGACAACTCATTGAGCTGGCATTGAATCACCCGATTGCTGTAAATTCTTTTCTAAACAGAAAGTACTTTGATGGAAAAATCCCAAGATCCTTAGCAAATGTCTTGCTCCTTGGCAGGAGCAGTGTTTTGGGCACGAATGGCCATTCTTTGCTTTCATTTTAGTGGAAATGCAAGTAGCTCCAGCTAGAAGTAACACAGATGATCTGGGAAGAGACTTAGGCCAACAAACCTGGAGCTGGGGGCAGGGTGAGGACAGGCATGCCAGCCTACGAATCCTACCCACCCCATCGTGTAGGTTCCAATGCCCACTGGGTGCAGAGAACAGGGCTGCTTTGTTTGAGAGGTTTTAGCCTGGTTGTGCTCACTCAGATCAAGACACAGACGTGCGGGTGTGGAGAGGGCTTAAGCTAAGGGCGGCTAAGGTGTGGCTGGGAGCAGCAGGCTTTGCCTTTGTAGCATTTGGTATTGAGCTGAGGTGGTGGGAGGTGGGTGGGTGGGTGGGGCTGTGTTTTCTAATCCTTCTCAGTCTTCTGAGTGTCGGGAGCAATTAGCTTCCCAACAAAGCTGGTAATGGGGATTTCAATGCTAGCCTGAGAAATCAAAGCCTTCCCACTCCGTGTATGCCTTCCCACTCCGTGTATGCCTAAGGGGTGTGCACGATCAAGGACAATGACATAAAATGAAAAGATCTAGTCTAGGGCCATCTCCCATCCATACCGATTTCCCGGTTCTCTTATCTGTATGAACTACAGCGAGTCACTTGGGGAGAGGGCTCTCTACCCTCCTACTTCTGTTCTTGTCTGTGGAACTGGAGAACACTTTTGGATTCATTCATTCTTGTGAGGATGAAATGATATCATTGTTACCATGTAAAACAGGAGGCTCTTTAAGCATGTAAGAAATATATTTCCTCCCTCCCCCCTAATTAAGGCCAATAAAGCTGGGTGCCAGTGGCTCACACCTGTAATCGTAGCTACTCAGGAGGCTGAGATACGATGATCACAGTTTGAAGCCAGTCTGGGCAGGAAAGTCCATGGGATTTCTCATGTCCAATTAACTACCCCTACCCCCCACCAGAACTGGAGATGTGGCTCAAGTGGTAGAGCATTAGCTTTGAGTGAAAAAGCTTAGGGACAGTGCCCAGGCCCTGAGTTCAAGCCCCAGTACTGGTACCACCACCACCACCGCCACTACCAAAAGGCCAGCACTTGGAAAGAAGGTTATAGAGTACCATTGTGAGATCTAAGGTTTTGATTGACCTTTGAACCCCAAGGCAAAGTAGGATCTGGGACTGAAAAGAGTGATGGTTTAAAATTTGGGCAGTGCATCTTCCAGACTTTTCTAGAATTGAGGTTGGTTGGCCCACCATCTTTTGGGCGACACTGTTAACTTGTGTCTCCTCAGGTGACTGGCATCAGGGTGACCCCGCTGGTCAGTCTGTCACAGCGTCTCCTGCTGGAGCCTCGCCTCGCTGGGATTTGTCCTGGGTGCGGCTGACTCGGGCCTCTGGCTGCAGCCCCTGGCCCAGCACGTAGAGCTCTGGGGGAGATGCCCGCCTGGCACCACCATTCTGCTGTTCTGGGGCCCAGGGACTGCTGCTCCAAGGTGTAGTGTCTTGCTTGGAGCTCTCCACACTGCTACCACCGCTGCAAGAACAAGGACAAGGGCAGGTCATGCAGCAGGTCTCTGCTCTTCCTTCCCCTTCCTTCCCCAGCCCCTCCGGGTTCTCTACTCTCCTGTTTGCCCTGCCCCACCCCTCTCCCACAGCCAGGCCCGCCCACTCACCCTTGGCACCAGGCCTCTGTCCTCTCTTATCAGGCTTGCCAGGCTGGGCTGTGCTGGCTCTGCCCCTGCCTGCCTGCTGTGGCGGGGCTGTGGGAAGCAGCTCCCAGGCCTTCTGCTGGCAGACTGAGTCCTGTCCAGTTCCCTATCCCAGGTTCCTGCTGCTCTGGACAAAGCAACCACTTCTGAGCTCTGGGAGCTGGGCCTTTATTGTGTTTTTGTTTTGAAAGTACTTCTTGTTGAGGAAAGGGTGCGGGCTTGGCTAGTTTAATGAAAAGCAAACAGGAACGAGGGAAAGTGGGAGTAAACGAGGGAGGGGCCAACAGTGTTCCACAAGAATGTCCTCATTATTTTGTTTATGTAACTGTAACCGCTCTGCACACCACCTTTACAATAATAATAAAGATCAGTACAGCAAAAAACAACAAACCAAAGCGAAAAAACCCAAAGCCCCACAACAAACCAAAGAAGACCTGCTTTGCACATCCGCCACCCTTTTCCTGAGTGGAATGAGGCTGGACCTGTTTGGCTCAGCCTCGCCCAGCAGTTGCTAGAACAGAACTTCCTAGCTACTGTGCATACAGAGGAGACCTCTCCCCAGGTAATCCCCAGTCTGACTAGACATACTTCAGAAAAGCAGGGCAGAGGGTATCCTGGGCCACAGAGCAGCTCTGCATGGAAGGCACCAAAAACCACACTGGTTCCCAGGCTGGCCTTGGGAGTCCTGATAGAGGTTGGATTCGGGCTGCCTGAGTTCAAGTCCTGGCTCTTTCCTTACCAGTTGTAAGCCCGGCAATATGTTAATTAATCTCTCCAGGCCTTTGGTTTACTTCTTGCTAAACTGAAAGCCATAATAACACCTATCTCATGCGGCATCAAAGACAGCAATGCAAGAGGAAACAAAGTTCTTTTATCTTATGCCTGTTTCAGTCGTGAGGCTTGAACTCAGGGCCTGAGCATTCTCCTTTAGGCTGGTGGTTTTCTACGACTTGAGCCACAGTTCCACTTCCAGCTTTTTAAAAATTGTTATTATAAAGGTGATGTACAGAGGGGTTGCAGTTATATAAGTCAGATAATCAATGCATTTATTGTGGACAATGTCAGCCCTTCCCTTGCTTTCTCCCAATTTTCCACCTCCCATTCCTACCCACTAGTTGCATAGTTTACGTTCAACATAGTGTCCAATGGGTACCACTGCTGCATTTGCTTCCAGCTTTTTGATAGTTAATTGGAGATAAGAGTCTCACAGGCTTTTCAGACCAGTCTGGCTTTGGACCTTAATCCTCAAATTTCAGCCTTCTGAGCAGCTAGCATTACAGGTGTGAGCCACTGGTGCTGGGAAAAAAGGCTTAGTATATAACCAGCACATACATGCTCTTTGAATTGGTAGCTGTCACTATAGTGCTGTTTTGTACAGCTAATAGATAGGAAATCACTCCTGGAAAGGAGTCTAGGGGTCACTATTACAGGTGGGCACCAGGGCACAGAGAGCTTGGGCCTTGGTAATTATTTTGGGTCTATTACCTCAAGAGCAGGACTCACACCCATGCATCCCTGCATAAAATTCTTGCAGTACACTCTGGCTTAGTTCTGTGCATGGGGCAACAACCAATCAGTGAAGGACAAATCTGTGCTTGATCTGCCCAAGATCAAGCTGGTGGAGGTGGGGTAGGGCAGGGCAGGGTGGCCACCCATGGTTTCTAGGCAACAAGGAACCCACGGCCATGTGTCTTAGAGCCAGTTTCTTCTGTGTTGGTCTTTCACAGGCCTCTGTATGTATTCAGGTTCTGATGTGATTTGTGGGCCACAGTTTCCACCTTCCTTCATTCTTTTCTCCTAGCTCTTAGGGAGCCAGAAGTCACGTGCAAAGATGCCCTTGCTCTATGGCCCAGCCTTTGTTGCTCTGACAGGAAGGGAAAGGGGCACACCTCCAGGAGGGCTGTGTCATACCACTCCATGGCGGCTCCCATGATGGCTCAACAATTTGGTCTAGAGCTTTCTCCACCCAAACCAGATCTCACTTGTACATGATGGTCAGGCTAGGAGTCTGATTTTCTGTTTTCACCCTGTGATTGTGGTTCCCATCTTCCCAGAGCTGCTAGAGGTGCAGACTACCCACCTGCCCTGCCCACCTGAGCTGGTTGGTGGGTTGAGCTGGCGGGGGGCTGCAATGAGTCCTTCCTCTGCCAGATCCGAACAGGTGAAGGTGAAGAACACTGCATGTAGAGGAAAGTCTGGACCCTTCTTGAGTGCACACATTAGAATCTGGCACCCCATACGGTTTTCAGCACATTCCTTGCAATCAGAGCACAGTAATTGAGCTTCCTGACGAAGCTTCCAGGGACTGTTCCTGATCCCCAGATCCCTACGACCTGGAGGATATAACCATCGGATGATTTTTGTTTTTAAAGGGGCTCATGCCTAGCGTGGGGTGGCAGGAAGGGAGTCAAAGCCAAGTTCAGGGCAGTTGACCTAGTAATGCTGCCATTCTGTAAGACACAGCAGACCTGGCTGTGTCCTCGCAGCTCCCCTGTGAGGGTCAGCTGGCACTGAGCATCCTCGGGCTCTCTGCTCTAGCTTGTTGCATAATCTTGCAGAAATCATGCCCAGGTCCCAGTTGCTGCTTCGCTATAGGCAGTATAGCAGAAAATGGTGTTCACCTTCCACAAAGAGACAAAAGTTCAGAGCTATTACAGCTGGGATTCTTCTTTTTCAGACACTAAATTCTTATCTTGGGGGTGGTGGTGGGGAGAGGTGAGCATTTTCCCATCAGGCACTTGAAGTTTGGAATGGCTTAGAGGTGTGGTCATACTGAGAGGCAGGAAAATGTGTACAAGTTATATGGTGACCTTCTACCCAACCTTGACCAGACTTTTCTCAAGCTACGAGTTCTCCTCACCACATATTGAAATTTAGGACATAAAACAACCTTTTAGGCTACTCTGTTCCAAGGAGAAGCTTGAGAACAGGGCTTTATTTTCTTCTTGAACAATTTTTATGTTCTTGAGCAATTTTATAGCTCCTGCTGTTTAAAATGTTAGTGTTTTTAATTAATGCCATTTTATTGTCTCTGTTCTCTCAAGCTCTTCTCCTGAAGGGCACAGTTTTAGAAATCTAATAACGGAATAAGTAGCTGGTGTGAAGAATAATGCATTAACATTTATAGAGGTTCTTAGATGAAAGCCACTGTGCTGTAGGAAGCTCATTTTAGATGTAAAAAAAAGAGCAACATTACATTAAGATTCTTACAGAAAATAATCAATATTTCATTTCTTTCAAGTGGCTGGGGAAGTTTATATAACTATTATAATGCATAACTTTCCTGAGATAATATCTTTATTTAAAATTGACTACCGGGTACTTTGTAAAAAAAAATGACCATTTATGTCGGGACGAATTGTGAAATCTGTGATGCATATCACTTGGGCAGAAATTAACTGCTGGTTTACACAACTGTGGGCAAGGCAGATGCTGGTCCAGCTTTGTCTTATCAGGATGCATTGTATTAATAAGAGTTTCCTAATTGACATCTTCCCCATGGATTCTGCAAAATTATCAACCAAGTATATGCGTCCTTTCAACACTCATGCAATAGCCATACTGACTTTATTCCCTGACATATGTGCCTAGATCTGTCTGCAGGCTGTGTCAGTGACACACAAACCACTTGTCCCTCCTGAGAAAAGTGCACTAGAAATTCAGTCTGCACAGACCAGGTAGGGAAGCCCTTTGGCTTGATCCTGGGGCTCAGCATTCATGAATGCTGTTTATCTAAAGCCTCCCAAGGTGGTGGAGCAGAGCCAGGTCCTTGGGTCTAGGGGAAGTCAGACATTTTAGTTGCATACTTCCAGGATGAGCCAATCACAAAGTGAGGTCTACAGACCCCTGGGTATACCAGAGATACTTCCAGGGGGCTCATCAGGTTCAAATTATTTCCTAATTTGAAAATGTTATCTGCCCTTTGCTCTCATTCTCTTGGGAATGTGGGGTAAGGATATTTCTGGAATCTACCAGACTGTGCAGAAGCAGTTCTGAGAACTCCTCTATCTTCCTACTAAACAAGACATTAATGAGATTTGCAAAAATGTAAGACAGTGTTATTTTTTTCACTAGTTTTTTAAAGAAAATATCCTTTATTATCATTATTATTTCTTTTTTGCCAGGCATGAGTGGCTCCCACCTGTAATCCTAACTACTCAGGAGGCTGAAGATTGTGGTTCAAACCCAGCCTGGGCAGACAAAGTTGAAAGACTTTTATCTCCAATTAAGCAGTAAAAAGGCAAAAGTGGAGCTGTGGCTCAAGTGGCCGAGTGCTAAGCCTTGAGCACAAAAGCCCAGGACCAGTGCCCAGGTCCTGAATTCAAGCTCCAGGAAAACGTGTGTGTGCATGTGTGCATGCTTGCGAGCACATGTGCGTGCGCACACACACACATGTGCACACACACACGCACATGCACACACACACTCTTTGGCCAGGAATAGTGGTACACACCTATATTCTTTTTTTTTTTTTTTGGGTCCAGTCATGGGGCCTGAACTCTGGGCTTGGGCGCTATCCCTCAGCTCTTCAGCTCAAGGCTAGCGCTCTACCACTTGAGCCACAGCGTCACTTCTGGCTTTTTTTTTTTTTGCTTATGCGGTGCTGAGGAATTGAACCCAGGGCCTCATGTATGCAAGGCAACCGCTCTACCACTGAGCCACCTTCCCAGCCTACCTATATTCTTTTTATAGGAATATATTATTTGTTAACATAGAATGGGGTTATTCTTTTAAAAATATAACAAATATGTCTCAGCTCTTAGTTTTAACTTTTAACACTGTAAAAGTGAGTAGATACAACTTTGGGGTCCTCAGTGAACTTTAGAAGTTGAGAAGGATCCTGGGACCATGGAGAGAACCTCTTAGAGAGTGAGACACATCAGAATCTGCCTTCTGGGTCTAGACCCATATGCAGGGAGAGGGCCACCAGTTTCCCCATCTGTCAGAGAAGTGGAACTCAGCTATATGTCAGATGAAACCACTCATTCATGGTCAAGGGGAGACGAGACTCCAGTCTAGAGCATAGTTTGAAAACTTCCTACAAGTTAGGGAATGGTGGTAGCTGGGGACACTCCTTACCTGCTATGGCCAGGCTGAGATTCCCAAGAACCAGGCAGCAAAAGAGGGGCTCCGGGGTGGCGGTGGGGAGCTGTCCTTCTGACAAAAGGCAAAGGGTTGGTGGCACTCAGAACCGTCCTCTTCTGCAAATCTGCCCTTGGCCGCAGCCCTGAGCTCCTCCTCCAGCATCCCGTAGGGATCCCAAGAGGGACCCCAGGCTCTGGTAGTGGGGCCAGTGGGTGGGCTGCTGAGGATGATGATTTCGCTTCAAAGAGAGAGGAGGTGGCTGGGCAGAATATGGAACCTGTGTTCTCAGATGCTTTGGCAGTGGTGGCTTCACTCTCTTCAGAGTCCCTTGTGTCCTTGTGCCCCTGTGAGGGGGACACTGGTGGGGATGGGAAGGTGTTGGGGAAAGGGGAGAGATGGCTGGAGACCTTGGGCTGAGCAGGTGGACTCCCTGGGGGTGGGCTGGGCAGCTTGTGCTGGGGTGGTGGGGAAGTTTGTTTCTTTGGGGTTGGTGGGCTTAGCGTCCTGGGGCTCATGGATGGGCTGGGGGCTCCAGGGCTGAGTGGTGGGCTGGGAGAGCTGGAGATGGAGGGGAGGCTGGGCTGGGCAGGTCTTTGAGCTGCAGGCATGCTTCGCTGCTTCTTGTCTGCTTGGGGTAGCCCATGGGTCCTTGTGGGAGAGGCCTTTCTGACGATGTGGGGGCTGCTCCTGGAGGCCTCAGGAGAATGTGGTCCTTGTGTGGGCCTGGCCAGGCTGGGCTCCATAGTCCTGCTTTGCCCGGACACGGGGCTGGTGTGGTGCCAGGGTGGTGCCTTACAGTGGTGCTTGGAGACGCTTGCAACCTCTGTTTGTGTCTGACTCTGGGCCCCGGCCTCCACAGGGGGGTCTGGGCTGGCTGCTGGTGGGTGGCTCAGATCCGAGGTGAGCTTCCTGGGATTGCTGCCACTTCTGCTGCTTGCTGGTCCTGTGCCATGCAACTTTGGGGAGCTGGCAGTGCCCTTACTAGGCAGCAAGTCAAGGGGGCCCATGGAGACCCTCAGCTTTGTGGAAGGCCATATTCTGGGAGGGCCTTCCTCTCCTTGCCCGGGGGCTGGGCTCTCTTCGGCAGAGTGCCCTGCCATCTCGCTGCCATCTGGGGGCTCCAGAGAAGCGAATGAATTGTCCATGAGGACTTCCAGAGGTGGCGGAGGGAGATCCTCGGGATCCCCTCTGGCCTCACAGTCAGTCTCCTCACTCTGGTACGCTTCTGTTGTAGGTAGAGGGGGGAAGATAGGTACTAAAGGCCTCCAGCCTGTACCCACCTTGAAACAGTCTCTTTGCACTGTGGGGGAAATTTGAGGCTTAGGATACAAAGGGGCAAGCCCTCTGTATATCGGAAATCTGGGGGGCATGGTGGGAATCCCCCACTTCTTCAGGCAGCGACTTGACCCTGAGTTTCTGGGGTCCCCCAGCATCCTTAGATTCTCAGAAGGACTGAAAGTTTCAATGAGTTTCTTGACGGATGCTCTGCTAGGACAGTCCCCTCTGGCCCTGTCCGTGGTCCTGGCAGTGACACCAGCCTCCCCCGAGGGGGTGGCATTTGGCAGCATCTCAGCTTTCCTGGGCCAGGGCTGTTCTCTCTCAGGGTGGGGACTGCGTTTCTGTGGGAGACTCTTGTCCTGACTGGGCAGGATGCTGAAGTTTCTGGTGAGGGAGGCCTTGAGCCTGCTGATGGTGCCGCTGGGGCTCGCTCTGTGGCTGTGGCGGGTACCGAGCATCACCGCTCTGCGCTGCGGAAGCTGCTCTTGGCTCTGCCCCTTCTGGGTGGCACCCAGGGCATAAAACATCTCCAGCCTCTGACTGAGGTCTCTCTGGACCTTCCATAGCTCCTGGAGTGTGGGGTCCTCCACGTGGCTCTTCAAACAGCCCTCTGACTGAGACCTCCTCTGCCTCTCCGGGGTCTTCCTGCTGCCACTGACAGTGCTAGGCCTCGGTGGGACCAGGGTCCCACCATCTTCCTCCTCCTCAGCCCAGTCTTGGTGGCCAGAAGCTACAGGAACAAACTTGATCTTTTCACTGATGGCTTCTTTCATCTTCAGAATCATTTCCCGGGCCTGGGGGCTCTTAAGTTTCTGGGCGTGTGGCTGAAATAGGCTCTCCCGGTCAGGAGGAGAAGACCGGGGTCTGGAGGAACGTGGAGGGCTTTCCTGGCCTGCACATGGATGTGTGCAGCTATCGTCATCTTCTTCCTCAGAGCTGCTGTCCTGACCTTCACTGAGGGATGGAGCGGCTGCCAACCTGGAGCTTGGAGGTAGATGTGTCTCCACAGGGACCCCACTCTCGAGGGAGACCCACGCCATGCTCTTTCCTGCCTCGGAAGACCTGGGGGTGGCAGTTTCTGAGCCTGGGCTGGAAGGGCCTGATGTCCTTGCTTCACTCTGAGCTGCCGGATGAACCTTAGCCATAGCTGGTCTGGACAGTGGGCAGTCCTGGGGTCTGTCGGATCCCATCCAGAATGGACTTGGCGGCCAGCCATGTCCTGACAGTCTGGCCTCCACTTGTGGGGACATCCCCGGCTTCCATTCCGTGGGATCGGATGCAAAGTCCCAGCTACCTTGTTTGCCCAGCTTGTCTGCAGACTGCACGGACTCATTGTCAGCACCAATGCCACTGTCCTCAGAGCACAGGGGTGGACCCTGCAGCCCGGGGTCCCTATGGCCACTCGCTAGGCTCTCTAGTTGCCCCAGAGACCTCAGGAGGTATTCCTCCGCACCCCTTTTTGTGCTCAGCTTAGTCTCCAGGTGGCTGGCTGTGGAGTGGAGGTAGTTGCTGGAACCTTCCAGGAAGCTGCCGGTGAGGGAGGCCACCGTGCCATGGAGCACCTGTAGCTGGCTGACCGTGTACTGTAACAGCTGCTGCAAGAGGTCCGGCGGCTCTGAGACCTCTCCTTTTTTCAATGGCCAAGCCAGATCCTCCCTCACGTCCCAGAGTAGCTCCTCCCCATCCTTAGAGATCTCTCCCAACAGCTGGCTGACCTCCTCGCAGCACAGCAGCAGGAAGCCAAGCATGGGCTGCAGCAGCTCCCGGGTCTGGCTGGCCTGATGCATGAGGCGCAGTATTGCTTCGTACCGGGAGAGGCTGGAGTGCAGGTAGGCGTAGGCATGCTGGTGGGCTTTTACCAGGGGTTCAGGGAAGTCCACTTTGGCCTCTGACTCTGGGATAGCTTGGCAACCGTGGCTCTGTGTGCCTGATGGCTTTGAGGTAGCCTGAGCAGTGCTTTCTTCATTCCCTTCCCCAAGAAAGGCAGTCCCTCGTGTCCCATGGGAGCTTTCCATCTTGCCTGGAATGTCCTTAGCCATATGGCTTTGTGCTTTGTTCAGCCTGGATGCGGAGGTCTGGCTTTTGGGGCTCAGCCCCTCCCTCTTTCCCACACGCTGACAAAGACCATCAGTCACCGTTTGAGACCTCTTAGCCCTTGGTGGCCCCTCTGTCCACCTCCGTCCCTGGGGCAGGCTCCCTCCAGGGTCATAGCAGGTGGAACTTTTAACTAACAGGGGGATGGAACCGCTTCCATGGTTCCCCCGACGTCCTGGCAAAATTGCTTTGGGTTTTTTCAGAAACTGAATGCCACTCTTTGCCACACTGTTTACAATGTCGCTGTGGGAAGGTGTGCACCCCATGGTTTTAGCTGGTAGTCACCTCCCACCAACAACTTTCATGATTGCCAGGGTCATCTTGGAAATGGAAGCAAAAGGCAGTCTTACTAGTCCATCCTGGTAAGTCCAGATCGGAGTCCTTTGAAGTCCATGATGGAAGGTGGGAAACTACGAGTCTGCTTCCTTTACTTCTGTGGCCCACGGTGAGGAGGGAAGTTGAATCAGCTGTCCAGTTGTCCTAAGTTTTGAACCCTCTGCTGGTAGTGAGCCGCGGGACAATTCTAAAGGAGCTGTGTTGAGGATTATGGGCCGGTGTTTTGCTCCTGTCCTGACAGATGTGGATGGCAAGTGGAGCTTTAAGCCTATTAGGTTAATCACACCCTAGCCAGTCAGCACTCAGTGTGTTCGAATATAGAACTTCTCAGCATTTGCTATCTTGGGAAGCGGATTATTTTTGCACGTGCTTCTGCTTTTAATTCTGTTCAGACGCCTTGTCATATGAAACCTAGAGAAATGAGCTGTAATTGCGGGGGAAAAAAAAAGAGCTCTGGAAGAGATGATGCATTTGTGGCAGACAATCTCAGGCTTGCAAGATTACAGACCCTAGGAAGAAGTGAACTTCACAGTTTGTGAAGGGCAAATCAACCAACTGTGTTCCAACTTACTTTTATCAAGAAGACCTCCAAACACACAATAGATACTGTTGTCTCTGTGGCTTGTTCAATTAAACCGCCCAGCCTGAGTGATGGACAACCTCTCAAGATAATAAGACAATGAATGACGAAGAAGGGTCGCTTTCTTCCATGTGAGAAAATTGAGTTAGATAGCAGGAAAGCCATCTTTCTTGGTCTGGAGAAGAATAGGAAAACTTACCGCCATATAAAGCTTAAGTTCGTCACTGTGGGCCATGGGAGCTCAGGGGGGCCATGCTGTTCTGGGAAGAGGCTTTTGATTAAATCTTTCTCCTAGGAAAGCCAGCTAAACCTGGGCAGTAGAGAGTTATTAGTCATTAGAAGTAGAACTCGAGGGAGAAAATGTACTTTTCTTTTCAAGCACATCTTTCACTCAAGCTGAGAATGCTACTCTTGCCCTTGGCTAAGGGTAGCAGCTGCCAGTTTTGAAATTCCTTTTAAATACCTTTTTTTTTTTCCTGTCAGGAAAGTCTAGAGCAAAAGCCTGGAGAGGGGGATGTGGGTTTAGATCCCAGCTCTTGCTTCATTGTGGAGAAAGCAGTGAACTACTGAGGTAGAGACCACCTTCCCCCTCCCCCGCTTCTTCTTCTGTCTTTCTCTGTTTCTCTCTGCCTTTGTCTTGCTATCTCTGTCTCTTCCAGTCTTGCTATGTATCTCAGGCTAACCTCAAACTCTCAAACTCCCAAACTCATGATCTTTTTGTTTTAGCCTTTAGCCTCCTGAATGCCGGGATTACAATTGTGCTCCACTATGCCCAGTAGAGGGTTTTTTTTTTTTTTTTTTGTACTGGGGTTTGAACGTAGACCCTTGTACTTATTAGGCAGATGCTCTACTATTGAGCTTTATCCTATATCCTATATCCTTTATATACCTCAGCCACGCAGAGGTAATCTTTTTAATTTGCCACTGTTTTTTTTTTATTTCTGCATACTTTGTCTTGTATGTAAGTTTATCTGATTTGGGGAGGGGAAGGGGAATCACAGAAATGCTGGGACTAAGGGTGGACCAATTCAGCAGTGATACTCACTAGACACTATGTTGGAAATAAACTGTACAACTTGAGGGGTAGGAGGGGAAAATCTGGGAGAAAATGGAGAGGATGACACTGTTCAAAAAGATATGTACTCAATACCTGACTTATGTAACTCTAACCCCTCTGTATATCACCTTTACAATAAATAAATTTTTAAAAACTTGTGACTATAGTATCCGATTCATTAAATTCTTGTAAAAATTAAGTCAAATCAGTTTGCTAAGTACCTGGTGCATGATGAATACTCAAAAAATTGTTTGTTTTTTTATTCCTTCTCCCTGGAACGTAGGCTATTTGTAAAAGTGATAAGAAAATTGATTAAGCTGGGAAGGTGGCTTAGTGGTAGAGTGCTTGCCTAGCATGCATGAAGCCCTGGGGTTCAATTCCTCAGTACCACATAAGCAGAAAAAGCTGGAAGTGGCACTATGGGTCAAGTGAGCAAAAGAAGCTCAGGGACAGTGTCCAGGCCCTGAGTTCAAGCCCCAGGACTGGCAAAAAAATGGGTTTGTCAAGAACCAAACTCTAGACATTTCCTGAATGGTCTAGAAATGTGACTGGATTTGAATCACTAGACCTGGGCTCCAGAAAATTGTTGATCACATTGAGGAAAGAATTCAAAGATCGACACAGAAGAGTCTTAAGCCAGGGCAGGTTAATTAATGCCAGGTAAAGCAAAAGAACATAGTGAGTTCTCCAGATGGAAGGTGAGCCTGGGTCCTCCAAGACCGCAAGCTTTTATTGAGGCCTGCAGAAAAGGGAGTTATTGGGCCAAAAAACCTGTGTCAGTGTGCCATTGTCTTCTGGAGAGTGGGTTAGACATCACTGGCTCCTCTATTATGTCCTATGAAGGGTGCTTCTGGGCCGTGTATGGACAAACCAGGACTATCACTTTCCACAGCAAAACCCTGCGGAATGTCATGGTCTTTCTGTTAATGTCAGCAGTCAAGGAAGTGATTCTTTACTAACATCCAATCCATCCTTCTCAGCCATCAGGTCTCCCAACTCCTTGCCTAACTCCTGTATCAGAACTGACTGAAAACACTTGGGTTGGGAGACTTCTGACGTCTACCTTGTCTGTTGGCCTTTCTGCCCTCTGTGTCTGCACAGCCTGGTTCTGTGCTTAGTTCACAGTGATCTCAGAGCTTTTCTAGGGCTTCACTGTATAATTTCCCTGCCCTTAAACCTAACGATCTCCACTGTCTACAGGAGGCTTTTATTTAACCATTTTTTCCTATTTGGACATCTAGGTTTTTGCCAGTTCTGAACTGTCAAAATGTGAAAAAAGGTTGCATGTGGCATCTGCGATGTTGCTGAGACTTTTTCACTTGCTAGGCTGTGCACAACGAGAAATAATAACGCTTTCAGGATGTCTCAGAATCAGAAAGGACTTGGAGCCACCTCCTCTGCGTGGTGAAGCTAGATATTGGCTGCTGGGCCCTGTGTGGAGTCTGTTGCCAATCACAGCCTGGTGTCCCAGAGTGCATCATTAATAAAGTTCTATGGTCTGTTTATTTGAAGCAGAACTCAGGGGAAAGAATGAAGCAGTGCCTGGGGGCGAGCTGTGTTAGGCATTGAGCTGTTGTTTCATTTGTCACCAGGCTAGGCGGTAAACAGGGACACTGTGAAGCATCATCTTTCCCCTTCAGGTCTTGCAATGAAAGGCTCACTTGAAGAATGCTCTATGCAAATTTCTGTCCTTTTGGGAATTGAATCCCTGTATGAATTATCTTTGTGAAAACCTTTGCTCTGAGTGGCAGAAAAAAATTTTTTTTTCTCAACCAATGATCAAAATAAAAGATTTTGCTGAGAGGATCAGCTGTAAGATAGCTTTGTACCTCTTGGATTGCCTTTTTGATTCATATGAATAATGCAGGAAGCTGTTTATACATTGCTATTCACTTTTTCATTAAGACCCACTTTTAGTGTTCTTTGTTTTTAACCTGTGGTTGTTTCAAATGAAAAACAGAAGATTTTTTTTGGGGGGGAGTGGAAAGTGATACTATTTTGGCAAATTGACTTTTAAACATATACCTTAGCTGGGCACTGGTGGTTCACACCTGTAATCCTATCTATAGGAGGCTGAGATCTGAGGATAGAGATTTGAAGCTAGTCTAGGCAGAAGAGTCCTTGAGACTTTCATCTCCAATTAATCAGCAAAAATCTAGCAATGGAAATGTGATTCAAGTGGTAGGGTTCTAGCCTTGAGCAAAAAAGCCGAATGAAAACATAAGGCCCTGAGTTCAAGCCCCAGTGCTGGCACAACAAAGGCAAAGAAGAAATACACCCTACGATCCATCAATTCTATTCTTATTATTTTAGTATTAAATGCATAGATCTGTAATGTGTCTGGTACAAGAATATTCAGAGTAGCTATATTCATAGTATTCCTAAATTGGAAATAATCTGAATTTCTACCAATAAGAAAATAGATAAATTAGATACTACTATACAATGCAATGCTACCCCGCATTGAAAGACCAAACTACTGAAACCCATAACAACATGGGTACATTTAAAAATTGTTATGTTGCTAAGGAAGGCATGGGGCACATGTCTGACTTATTATCACAATGGTAGTTTCAGCTGCTTAGGAGGCTGAGAGAGGAGAATCTTGAGTTTGAAGGCAACTTAGGAATATAGGCAGCATAGCCAAATTGTTCTCCAAGAAAAATGTTATGACAAGTGAAAGAAGCCAGATACAAAAGAGTATCTTTGGCAATAGTTCACCGACATGAAGTTTAAGAACAGGTAAAAGAGTAGTTATTACCAGATGTTGGTGACTCACACCTGTAATTCTAGCTACTCAGGAGGCTGAGATATGAGAATCACAGTTCTAAGCCAGCCTGGGCAAGAAAGCCCATGAAACTCTTATCTCCAATTAACTACCAAAAACAAAACAAAACAAAACAAAAAACAGAAATGGACCTGTGGCTCAAGTGGTAGAGTGTTAGCATTGAGTAAAAAAGCTTAAAGACACCACCCAGGCCCCAAGTTCAAGCCCCAAGAATGGTGCACACACACATAAGAACAAGAGTATTTATTTCTAGGAAGAGCTGATGACGAGTTGTAATGTGAAGGATCTGATTAGGATTCTAGAAATGGCTTATATCTCAATTTGCTTGTTATCCAGAGGTATATTTACATAAAAGTCCTTCCGTTGAATAGTTAAGCTGCGTACCTTTATGCATTTTACACACTTACTCCTAATCAGAATGCAGGATTGTATATTTTGCTTTGTACCAGAAAGAGTCCTAGCCATGATACTGTTGGTGTTGGATAAAGGCTCCTGAATTAGTTGT